CACATCTGGTGAGGGTCTCCCTGTTGATGAAGTCCTGAGGCCACAGAGGGTATTACTAAGAGACCTGGAGCACATGCGTCTGTGCCACGTCTCTGGCTCATTTCCCCTCCTTGCAAACCCAGGAGAACTTGATCCCAGGGGCCCTACCCTCATGACCAATACACTCCCTAAAGGCCCCATCTCAAATACCATCACAGGGGAGTAAGGATTTGAACAGGGGTGGGGGTGGGGCACAGACTTTAACCACAAGTACGACAATGAGTTGATTACTTTCCTACCATGTTTCTAAATTCTTCTAAGTTTTATGAAACTGTCCCAAAGAAGACAGCAGAAATGTCTCTAACTAATGACCTCCAGTATGTACCCCAAATCATAATAACCACGTTCCAGGAACCAGCCTGTGCTAGAAATGGGGGGGTGTAGTCTCCCTCCTTGGGAAATGAGAATGCTCTGGCCTCCAGCAGTGCCCAACACCACTGTCCCCTCCCAGTGCTACCTGCCACCTTAGCTGGGAGCTCCTCTCACAGGCAACCAGAGGGTCAACATGGGCCCACCCTGATGACCTCACCATCCCCCATCACTACCACAATCGGGCCATCTCCCCACCCCCAAACATGGTTACACTGGCTCCCAAATGTCAACACACAAATTTTTGGTGAATACATTCAAACCAGAGTGGGTCCAGAGAAGTGCCTCGCTCTGTCCACCATGCGAGGACACAGCAGGCAGGCACCGTCTGAGGTGCCTCTTTCTTGCAGAGTGTAGAGATTTTCCTTCACCAGAATCTGGCCTTGTTGCCCCTCCCGACAGTACAGCACTCCTAAGCCCAGGTTGAGGCAGCTGCTTCCTCTTACTATGGACTCGATACAGCTTCCCAGAGCCTGTCCCATTCCCTGCCCCTGCCAGCTGTCTCAGCAAGGAGCAACCACATACTCCAGGGACTCCACCACCGTGGCCTGTGACCAAGGACAGTCCACACTGGAGCCTACCCTCCTGGAGGGCTTGAAGGAGAGTGTCACTCCCAAGACAGATGGGGAGAGCAAGGAGCTGATGCCATATGTACCCAGGCTGGGAAAGGGAGCATGAAAGTGAGACCACGACACTCACATCCCTCAGCCCCAGGTGTCAGGGCCAGTGAGCCCAGGGCTGCACTGAGTCCTGGAAGAGCTGAGCGAGTGCCCTCTGAATAGGCCTATATGTGTGGGTGCAGGTGGGCAATGCTGGCTGCACAAAGGAACCATCCACATGCCACGTGCCTGCCTCCGTCTCTCAGCATCTCAGAGCAAGCCCTCACACACACACCTTGCCAGCTCCTGACTCCGCCACCTTCGCATGGGAATCTTTGGGCTCACATTATGGTTGAGAAGATGAACTTTTGCAAAAGTCAAATGCCCAAGGTCAACGGGGAATGTATGGTTGGCAGGGCCAGGACTTGAACTCAAGGTCTCATCTATTCCTGTTGCCAACACTCCCATGACAGCCAAGGAGGCCCAGAGTCCAGGGTGGGGACGCACAGGGGACCACATCTGCTGCCCAGCTCCCATGCACGGGAACCTGCCAAGGAAGCAGCAGAAACATGTCCCTGCTATGGAAAAGCAGATGTGGGGGAAGGAGGGGGTAAGGAAGGCAACGGTGAGTCTGGTATGAGAAGGAGGGTGAGTCACCAAAAGGATAGGAGCTAATGAATGATTTCCTTCAAGGAGAAAAGTAGGTGGCTGAGAAAGCTCCTGGCTGAGAATCATTTCACCTTTGAGATAACACAGTGTGGGGGCCTGGAGTAGAGGACCTAACACCGCACAGGACAGCCACTCACAGCCCTCCCACATCCACACGAGGTCCTCCAGGCGAGGACGGGCTTCAGGCACACAGCATGTGGCAGGACCCCAGCGGGGAGATGCTCTTGGGGTCTTGCTGCCTCACGCCCAGTTAGAATCCTAGAAAGCTCCGAGATAAGGAAACACCGATACCCACTGACACCAATCAGCTACCACACTTGATCCCGTTCTCTGAAGGCCTGGATGCTGCCACAGATATGTGTGAGATCAACACCACCATGGGAGCCAGCGTGCCAATTACACCCTCTCAGTAAGCTGAGGGTACAGCAAGGTCAGTCTGGTTCCAACACCTGTCCTTAACGGACATGTCTCTTTCCTCTCTGTCTCTCCAGAACAAAAGCAGTTCCCATCTCCAAACGTGCCCTCTCTTTCAGGGTAAGATCATGGACATCGGGGCCAGCTGGGTGGCACACCAGTAACACACTGCTCAGGGAGGCTCGTCCACATGGAAGAACAGGGGGCTAAGTCCCCAGTGAACCTGTACACACGAGGCCCAATGCCCGTGATCCTCACTACGGGGAAAAGCTCCGTGACACTTGAGACCCCAGACGGAAGAGAGAAGGCATTTGTCTTTTTCTCTCTTTCTCCCTCTTCTCTCTCTGCCTGTCTCTCACTCTCATGAAAAAAAGAATAAACTAAATAAAAAGATAATGGATGTCACAGAGCAGAATAGCTGAGCACTAGAACTCTCAGAAACACCCTCACAACATGGAACATGCATGGAGCCACAACTATATACATGTGCCCATGTGTTCTCACATGGAGGAACAGTCACATACTACACTCATGCATGTGTGAACCTACACATATGCACGTACACAACCACACCCAGCTCCCACACTCACGCACGCACATGTGCAATCATGCACACATGCCCCCAGGAGAAATCGTCACAACGGCGCCTGGCTGCATGCTTTATGCCCGTCTCATCCAGCACTCACAACACAACCGCCCCCATACTAGACTCAGACCAGGAGGAGATACTGACCTTGTCAGGGTCAGGGTCAACACTCAGCCAAGCTGTTTGGCCTCAACCCTTGCTCCTAAATCAAGCCTGTGTCCACAGAGCATGTAACATGCAGGTGTCCGTTCCCAGGAACCTTTGCATGTGAGCATCAGCCTGTGATGTCATGCTAGGGTAAGGCATCTCAGAACAGGCCCCTGGGACCCCTGCCAGTGCCACGCTGCTCAAGGTCAGTGCTCCCATGATGCCCACAGCTCAGAGGCCAGGGACCAGGGCTGCCAAGTCCCAGCAGGCTGCAGCTCCAGTCTCCAGGCTCTCCGGACTGCGTTGGCTCCATGCTCCATGCTCCACATTCAACCACGGCTTTCCTCTTCCTTATTTCCGTACTTCAGAATCGTGGTTGCACACCACACTTTCAAAATATTGAGAGACCTTTTTTAATTTGCCAGAGGGTGCATGCACTGGCCAGAGGTAGAGGAGGAGGGAGAAAGCACCCCCCATAGGGTGTGGTCACAATGCATCCCTTCTCTGTTTCTCCATCCTGTCAGGTTTGGGACATGCCACATGCCCAGCATGTTTTTCAGGCTGCCAGGGCTGGGATTCAAACCGCAGTCAGTCATGTGGTATCCGGTTCATTGAACCACGAGGCCACAGGGCTGGCCCACAAAATAGGAGCATTTCTATGAGTATGGGGCTCAAAACATAAAGAGATGTCTTGGGCCTGCCATCCCTACTGTGTTCCTGGGGTATTGGGCCCCCACTGGGATGCAGAGAGACCGCTGTCTCCATTCACAGAGGCTTTGGAGAAGCCTGATGGAGAGAGATGTCATGCTGAGGCCATCGATGCTATTCCTTATCCTCTGGCATCTGCAAACAGAAAGGCCACAGCACTGTGGCCGACACGATGCCTGATGTGGACATACATACTGAATGATCTCCCAGACTGCCCAGCCTGCGGCCCAGTGTTTGCAAACACAGTGAAGACGTTTGCTATCACATGCTGTCATACGTCTCCTCAGAGCAGATCTGACTGACCCTGTCCCCTGCCATGGAGACAGACACCATGAACTCCTCTTACACTCCCCGTCTTTGGCTCCTGAGTGCACTCAGCCTGGGCAGACCCTAGAGCAACGTTACAGAGGGCAGTGAGACTACCTGCTCCACAGGTCACCTCTGCTGGGCCCTGTTCTTGAGACCACTCCACCCCAGCTTTCTCGGCTTCCTTTTAGGCCCAAGTGAGGTTCCAGCTGGTGCTGGCCTGGTCCCCATAGCTCTCCTACACCTGCAGCTCTGCAAGTCACCCTCTCAGGGAGGCCCCTGCCCAGTGCAAGGAGTCAATGACCACCCCGAGTATAAGGCATAAAATTCATGAGAGGAGCACCCAGCCTTCCTGCCAGGCTCAGGCCCTTTAACTCTAAAAGAATCCCCGGGGAGCATGGAAGCCCTAGTTAAAGTCCCCCACACTCAAATTTGACCTCTGTGCATCTTTTCCTCTCAGCCCCACTCCAAAGCAGCCATCAGGAATCCTGGCCAGAGTCTGTAGGAAGGGAGGAAGGAGAATCGCAACACCACAGGAGCCCACCAGCCGAGACCCTGCAAACTTGCCAGAGGAAACACAACCCCCTATGAGTGAAATGATGTGAAGAACAGCCCCCTTGTTCTCTTGGGGCCCAGCCCCAACCAGCCTCCACTGTGATGCACCCCCCAACCCACCCAGCCTGCCTAGTCCCAATCCTAGCGTGTCATGCAATCACAGAGAACCAGCAGGTTCCATCAGCTCCCTGTGGGTCAAAAATCAAGTAAGCTAGTGGCTGTGTTGAGTGACGGGCACGTCCTTGTCAACAGGCTGAAAGGGGCCACACCGAAGTGACCCTAACTCTGAAGAATAGGAAAATGTCCCTTAGGGACTTCAGTAAGAAACCCAAAAGTTGAACTGAGTAAACTGAGGAGTCCCTGAGGCTACAGACGAGACCAGAGAATGAATCCTGACACACTAATACTGACCCCTCGGTAAGAGTAGTCCTATGAGCAGCTGCATGTGCAAATAAGGTCAGTCCCTGCCAAGTTAGGGTGGGGGAACCTGGGGTGAGAGGGGAATTCCACGATTTAACTTCTGGAAACTCCCAGAGAATGTCTGCACTTGGTTTCGCATTTATTTTACTTTGGTTTAATGAACAATAGAATAATAAAAATGGACTTACCTCGGCACGAACTACCTTGACCATCGATCGTTTGTTTGCAAACTCCACAGACTTTGGATTTTTTAAAGGCTTTGGTCTTGAAATTGTGCAGACTCGCAGTCAATTCCTCTGGCTGAAAAATAAATGAAGAGGTTGTCAAAGCTTCGGTTTATTGTTTGTTTTCTATTCCCTTTCAGGAGATAATAAATCCGGTAGATTTATAAAGAGCTAACACAGGAATTTTATCAACGGAGAAAAGCAAGAAACCATCTGGCGATGCTGACATTCCCAGGCATCTCAGTTCCAGAGTCCTGCACAGAAGTGCACTCTCCCCGCACTCGTAAACACCACTACGGAGTGTGCCGGAGCGTCGCACTAACTGACATGCGTATGTGACCTGTACTCGCTCCCAGACCTGCAGCTCGCAAGCCTCACTCCTATGACAAAATAATCCAGCTACACCTACAGGGTACTAATGCTTTTTTCTTCTGGAAGAAATGACTAGAGAACAGCAGTTATGTTAAGAGAAAGCTGGCTGAAGTTGCTGATTCAAAGGCATCACAGATTCCCCACCAAGATGTTGAGCCTCTAGGAGCTGATATGCTCTTCTGTAGAAGAGACGGTCGCAGCCAGGTTGTCACACATGTGTGGTTGCACCTGATACGTGGTTTCACACAGAAGTAGGAAGAAATTAAGCACACGTCCACCAAATTTACACTTCTACATTAAAAGCTCACAGCTGTAGCTAATGATCTCAGAGGAACCCCTCCTGCTCTAAACAGTACATGCCAATCCTTACACCGACCCACTGTTAGGTGACAGTGTATTCTACCAGGAACACTGATTCATGAAGCCCATTACTCATCTGCCAGAGTAATTAAAATTAACTGAGAAAATGAAATGCTATCAAGAATATGGACCAAATGACACAATGACTTTGGGAAACAGTTTGACATTTTCTTTTTTCATTTATTTTATTTTATTTTATTTTATTTTTAGGATTTTGCCATAGAGTGTGTGGGCTTCCCAGAGAAAGACAGAGATGGATAGAGAAAAAGTGTGAAATCACCCCTGGGGGGATGGCCATGCTGCAATCTCCTTCTCCTCTATTCTCCTTCTGGAATTTTGGGCATGCACACACACACATGCCTGGTTTGATTTCTCAAGCTGCCAGGTCCGGGGCTCGAACCACACAGTCAGTCATGTGGGAGTCCAATGCCTTAACCACCACCACCAGGCCACCTGCTAGCCCTGGTTTGAAACTTTCTTTTTTTTTTTTTTTTTTTGAGAGGTTTTTCGCTATAAGGCACGTGCACTCACCAGACAGACAGAGAGAGACATGGAGACAGAAAGCGAGAAATCACCCCCCAGGGGGGATGGTCACGCCGCAATCCCTTCTCCTCCATTCTCCTCTCGGGATCTTGGACACGCACGCACACGCACCCGGCGTGAATTCTAAGCCACTGGGTCCAGGACGCGAACCGTGGTCGACTACGTGGGAGTCCAGCGACATAGCCATTACGCTAACTGTTGGTTCCCAAAACTTTCTAATTCACTTAAACACACACCTATGCATCAACCTATAATTCCACTCCTATGTACACTGAAAAAAAAACACATGCCTATGTCCACAAAAGACTTGTAAAGAATGGTCATGGCAGGCTTATTTAAAAGTACTCAAGGGCCAGACTGTGGCAAGGTGGTTGGGGCAGCTACACCCCACACTGTAGAGGGTTTGAGTTCTTGATTCAACGGCTTGAAAACACATCAGACTTATGTGCATTCATGCCCAAAATCCCGAGAGAAGAATGGAAGAGAAGGGATTACACATGGCTATACTCCTCTGGGAATGGGCAGTACTTTCTTATTTTCTCTCTCTCCTCGGGGAGCACAGATGCCCCATTTAAAAATAAATAAATAAACTTAATTTTTGAAAAATTAAAACTTAAAAAAAAAAAGTAAGGTCAGCTGGTGGCATGGTGACTAAAGTGTTGGACTCCCACATAGCTGATAACGATTAAAGCTCTGGACTTGGAGGTTGAGAATCACCCCAAGTGTGTGTGTGACCAAAATTCCAAGAGGAGAATGAAGGAGAAGGCATTGGTGTCCATCACCTTTGGGGGGTGATTTCTCACTTCCCTTTCTCTGTCTCTTGTCTGTCTCTCTCTCAGCAAACACATGCACCCGATGGCAAAAACCTAAAAAATAAATAAATAGAAAATAAAAATAAATAAATAAAAGTACCTCAAAGAGAAAGTAGTCCAAATATCTATTGTAAAAGAAATAGCTTTTTAAAAATAAAAAACTATATTAATATTCATATGATGGAATACTACTCAGGAATACACACACACAAATCACATAGAAAAACATGGAAAGCATTATGCTGACTGCAGTCAGATGCAAGTGCACACCGTGAGTGATGTAGACTAATCTATATTAACAGACATGACAATGGTCACTTCTAAGGAAATGTGTAATTATATGAGGAAACTTCCTGGGTGAAGAACATATTCTAGTTCATGCTGTGGGCACAGGTCTTTTGGTATTTTGCAATCAGATGCATATTGGAGGTGGGGAGAAAGTGAGATATCACATTCCCTAATCCTATTTCTTCTTTTTTATTTTATGTTTTTCTAGTTTTGCTATGGTCAGCCACATGAGAGTCAGTGCCTTAACCATCATGCCACCTGCTGGCCCTAGTAATAATAGTTTTTTGTTTGCTTGTTTGTTTGTTTTTTAAATATTTATTTAATTTTATTTATCTTATTTTTTTAAATTTGCTATGGGGGGACCAGCAGTTAGCGTAATAGCTATGTTGCTGAACTGCCATGTAGCCGACTGCAGTTAGAGTGCTGGACCCGGTGGCTTAAACTCACACCGGGCGCATGTGCGTGCGTGCCCAAGATCCCAAGACGAGAATAGAGGAGAAGGGATTGCGGCATGGCCATCCCCCCTGGGGGGTGATTTCTCGCTTTCTATCTCTTTGTCTCTCTCTGTCTTTCTGGCAAGCACACACACCCTATAGCAAAAACCTCTCAAAAAAGAAAAAAAATTTTTTTTTGCTATAGGGCATGCGTATTCACAGGAGAGAGACAGATGAGGGTGAGAAAGCAAGCCACCAGGTCCAGGACTCAAACCATGGTTGGCCCTGTGGGAGTCCAGTGCCTCAACCACTACACCACCTCCTGGCCCCTGGTACTCTAGTTTTAAAGACAAAGTAATGGTAAACAGTGTCATAGCATTTTTTCTATTTATTTTTAGTGTATATCTATAAGAGCTTCCACTTCTGATTCAAAAGTACTACCAGGAACTAGATTTATTATCATACCTGAAGTAACAACAACAGCAAAAAATCCATAAAATACATGAAACCGGTTTTATTATATTAGATAATAAAAAATAGTGAGTCCTCAGAAATAAGGGAAAAGTGAGGTAGATTCTACAAAAGCCCCCAGATTCTTAGGAGTTTTTAGACTATGGAAAAAGGGGGAAACCAGGTGGAGCCCAGTATACATCTGAGGTGAGGAGGAGTTCAGAGTCTAGAAAGAAGAAAGCAACAGAGCTGTGCTAGACAGACAACCACAGAACAGAGAGCTGAACAGAACTCTAGATCTACAGAAGGTGCCTCCTCAAATACTGAGGTGAATACTGATAAGTGAGTGTATTAGGCATGTGCACACATGTGCACAAGTCCCTCAGCGCTAGAGGAAGAATAACCAGGTGCCCCACGCTCACACAGAGTTGGGAATAATGCCCATCTGTATCAGCAGACCAGAAGTAATTAATTAATTACCTCAAAATAGAGCGCTGCTTCTGTCCTACCCATCTTACCTAAACAGCACTCAAAAGTATCAAGCCACTGGATCATTGGGAAAGTCATGACATATTTTTCTAGTGTTTCTAGAAAATGTGTCATGACTTTTCCAGCGACCCAATATTTACAAGACACTTAACTGCATCCCAGAAAAAAAACAAAAAAAAAGCCCAAAAACATCTGTAAAAAATCTAAAAGTGCTTTTCAGCCAAGGAGCTAAATGTCCAGGAGCCCATCAAAATCACCAAACACTAAAAGAGACGGGAAAATACAACCTATAATGAGAACAACTGATCGATTAAAACTAACTCAGAACTGAAAGAAATGTTAGCATTAGCAAAGAAGGATGTTAAAACAACTATTAAAACTGTATTAATGCGTTCAAAAGTTAAGTAGTGGGTTGCCAGAAAAGTCATGATGTATTTTTTTTGTTTTTCAATGCAAAAATGCGTCACAACTTTTCCAACAACCCCATAGAAACTAGAAGATATAAAAAGATACAAAACAAATATCCATAGAAGAAAACATAAAAATCTGAGATGAAAAATATTAGATGGAATTTCAAGAGAACCTCAAAAGTTCATGGAAAGTGGAATTAAAGTATGAGTTTGTTTTGATGTAAAATATTTTTAAATCCATGAAGAACACATTGATAATTCAATTCTGTGAATTTTTTTTGAGAGGTTTTTGCCATAGGGCGCATGCGCTCGCCTGACAGACAGACAGAGACAGAGAGACAGAAAGCGAGAAATCATCCCCCAGGGGGGATGGTCACACCGCAATCCCTTCTCCTCCATTCTCCTCTCAGGATCTTGGGCACGCACACACACGCGCCCGGCATGAGTTTTAAGCCACCGGGTCCAGGACACAAATCGCAGTCAACTACATGGCAGTCCAGCAACATAGCCATTACGCTAACTGCTGGTCCCCCTGTGAACTTTTTGAAGGAAATACATTGGCAGATTTGATTACCATGAAAGAACAGATGAGTGAACTTGACATCAGGCTACCGTCTTTCTAAAATAAGGCATAGGGAGATGAGACAACCTAAATAAACATACAAATGAGTATCAAGGAGTTGTGGAAGAACTCTATACAACATAAGTATAACTGGAGTTCCTGAAGCAGAGAAAGGTAAGGAAAGGGGGAGGTATTTAAAGAAATAATGACTGAAACTTTTCCAAAATAGGAGAAAAATGATAAAACTATAGAGCTAAGAAAGTCAACATATCCCTTACACGAGAAATATAATAGAAACTACACAGAAGAACATGATCATCACATTGCATAAAAATAAAATTCCATAAAAATAA